TATATTAATTAGTGATTTAATTAATGTTTTTAGTTCTAATATTTTTAGGCAAATAGATTTGAAGATATATATCTTTGTATATATCACTTTTCATCAAATACTAAACAATATCTCTCAAATAATAAGACTATTTCTAATACTAAAATAATGTATTAGTATTTGAGAATCATGTTGATAAATTTTTTGAATATGCTACAAAACAAAACTAGGTTAGTAAAAATAAACTATTTTTTGAAGTAAACCAATATTTAGAAAAACCAATTGCTACAAAAACTACTAATATTCTTGAATAGTAGAAGTGTAATAGCAGTTAGCTTCCTTCTTTATCTGCAATAGCTTGAGACTTTCTTGCTATACTTGCTACAAGTATTATATCCAAACAGATATTTAGCTATGTAGGTCAAATTGTTGATGATAGTTGTATTTAATTAGATCCAAGTATAATAACTCCATTAATATACTAAAGAAACTGGTTAGATATAGCTAAAAAGTTTAGTTAAGATTTATAATTTGTTAAAATTATTAATAAATTTTTTTTGTTTTTTTTGCTTTCTGTTTTTTTTTTAATTAAATAGTTATTAAAAAACATTGTTTTTGATCTATTTAACTTATTTTTATTAACCTACTCTAAGGATTATATTACTTTTGACTAGAAATATACTTTGGTAAATTTAAACTAGCATATATTTACAACCTTACGCAAAGTTATATTGCATGATTTTATGTGAGTTATTTAATAAGTTATTTAATTAATTAAAAAAAACTATTAAATTGATAGCTAATTAAAATTATCTTAATTAAATAATTTATTTTACATAAGGTTTATAAAGTTGCAGATATTAGAATTTTGTTATCTTGCATAAGGTATATATCTACTTTTGATTTATATAATATATCACAATAATTAGCACCAAATTACTGTTTTTAAAAGGTAAAAAATATATTTTGAGTAAAGAATATACAATATTATAATCACAATATTATATATTATATAGGGTCCTTTGTAGCAAAAGGTGGCAACAAAGCAGCTAATCAGATTTTGAGAATTTATATTAATTATCTGCTTATAGGTCTGATCTTTCTAAAAATATTTTTTTTATAAAATTTATTAAAAAAATAGTATATAAATACAGGATTTTTCTGTTATAATTATAGTAAAATTTAAAGAAAATCAAATATGATCTGCACATGACTGATATTAATATATCATATATATAGTACATCTTTCAAAAAATATTATTGCAGATCTGATATATACAAAGTCAATTTCTTAAAATTTTGTAAATTTTGAAATTTATTAAATTGATAAAATAGTATAAATTGACAAAATCAAAGAATATGATACATTAGTATAGAAAGAATAAATAGATATTTAAAATGACTCAAACTTCCTTTCAATAAAGGATATTTAACAACTAATAACTTATTTCTTACTACTAAATCAAATTAGTATGTTGCTTTATTACTTTTCTGATAGTTAAAAGTCATATAATATCTAGTCCTGTGATTCTCGATTAGAGCTTCATGACATAATCTAGAGCTCTAATTTAATATCTAATTACTCAGACTAGGTCTTTCTATACCTCTTCGCTACCTGCTACTATTAGGGTCTAGTTTAGATAGTATTGGTATAGTATTTCATAGTAGTTTAATAATGTTTGTGAGTAGTTAGTATTAGTTAGACCCCTATAGCTCAATATTTTCTGATTCTGAAGTAGTTTCTGCTTCTACAACATACATATTTCTTAATATTCAAAGTTGTAAAGTGTCTAAAATAATTCAAATATGTATATGCATACTGTGGTATAAGAAATACTTATTTTATACGTACATATATATATATATCAGTACACTATGGTACAAAAAATACCTATTTTGTATGTACAGTACTAGTACAGTTGAAATTTATAAGAAATTTTTATAATTTATATATTTTATGCTTTTAACAACCATTTTTAAAGAATATGGAATATAACATTTGTTCTAATGATAGTAATTTGAATAAAATTATTATTGACACCTTAAAAAATTTAGACAATACTTTTTTTGTAGAATGTTTAGATTCTGAAAGCGATGAAGAACCTAATATTTTATTAGATATTGAATCGATATCTAATAATAACGATGAAATTCCTATAAGCATATTAAATGAATTTAGCTTTGTAGATATACTAGATAATTATATTGAAGATAAAATTTATGATGAATTAAAATTAAAAGTTCAACAATTTTTTGAAAAAAATGAATGTTCATATTATTCTAAACTATCATGTTTTAGACAAATTGGATATGAAAAGTTTCTTGCACGTCAAGTTGAATTTGAAAGCCTAGATAAAAATATACATGATATAGTTATAAAAGGACAACTTATAGCTTTTTAAAAAAGTGAAAATACAAAAAATATTACTAGTGAAAAAAGAAAAAATCTGTATTTCAGTTATTGTTATAATAGTGATATTTCAATTTGTCATAATACATACTTGGCTCTTGTTAGAGTTAGCTACAAATATTTAGAAAATATGAAATAGCATTTACTGGAGCATGGTCTTGAGGAATGCATACATAGAAATACTAGTAGAGCACCAAAAAATAGAAATGTGTTGAAGTAAACTATAATATAGAATATGATGTATTTATGTTTTTAAAAATTATTCCAATATATATAGTATGCCCTCACCTAGATGACATCTTAACTGAATTTCTATGCCAATTGTGTTTCTTCTAACCAGTTTTAGTTATGCATTAGTATATTGTGATTATGTCCAAGCTCACAAAGATAAGTATGGAAAAGATGTTCGTATTATATCTGAAACAACCTTTACTAATATCTGGAAAATTCTAATACCATTGCTTCAATTTATGTCTTTAAAATCTGACCTATGCGAAACTTGTAAAACAATAAAAATAGATTTTCAATATATTACGCAGCATGAAAAAAAATTAGAACTTACTAAAAATTATTTAGCTCATTTGAATCATGTGCAAAAAGAACGTGATTATTATAATACTAACATTAAAAATACAATTGAAAGTAGCAAACATAATTAGAATATAATTAGCTTTCAATAATCTTTTAAAACCTTTAAAAGTAATACACATATTACATATAATTAGGCTCAGAATGTATGAATACCTTACTTACTACAACAAATAGGCTCTTTGTACTTTAAAAATTCTCAGAAAGTACATTTGTTTAGAGTTTGTAATACTGAAAATTTTCCAGATATATAGCAAACTAATTACATCATTGATAAAACTGAAATGCCTGATGACAGTAAATAGGGAAAAGGCATAAATTGTACTCTAAGCTTGGTTTGGCATGCAATTCAAAAATATAATCATGAAGAAAGCAAATTAGTTATCATGTGCGATAATTGTACAGACTAGCATAAAAATAATTATTCATTATTTTTTTATTTATAGTTAGTTGACTATAATATGTATGACAAAATTGAACTAAATTTTATGATATCTAGACATACAAAATTTATTTGTGATAGTTGTTTTGGCCTAATTAAGATTCTCTACTGAAAAAGTAAAGTAAATACTGTTGATAATATAGTCTCAATTGTTAATCGTTCTACTTCAAAAAATTTTAATGTTGCTCAGTGTTATTTGAATAGAGAAAGATTTCGGTATTATAATTTTAAAAATTATTTTGAACTATTCAAAAAACTATCCACTATTCAAAAATATCATCATTTTTATTTTACTTTGCAAAATCCTGGAGTTGTCTTTTACAAAGAAGATTTTGATGATAATTACCAAAATTTTACAATTCATTCTTTTCTGTAACAAACTACTAACTTATGCCCCAACTCTAGGTTATATAGGACCCAAAGTACTCGATTCTAAACCCAGTACCTTTGTATAACAAGTTATAAAAGGTAATCTCATACAAAACAT